TGCTGAACCCAATCTGTTTTTGCGTCAAGACATGATGTGGATAACTAAGAGCTGTGTGGGGACCTACTAGCATAATGTCTGTCTTTGGGAACACAGTGAATGTTTGACCACCAGTGCTGTTATGGCCATATATTCCAATACCCACAAAGTTCCACCTCCCACAACAGCCAGTATTGTCTCTAGAGTTACCTAGTGGATGGATTAAGTCATCTAAACAGTTGGTGACACAGCCAGAATTAAAGTGCCCATAGGGGTACAACCCAGCTTTGTAACAGTCAAACAGACATACCAAACACAGAGTTTCCTTAGACCCTACAAAAAATAGGCCGCTAGAAGAAATCATGGAAGATAAAATAATAGCAGACGACTGCTTCACTCATCTTCCTATTGCTGAAGGTCCTTGGCTACATAAAGTCACACTATAGACCCCTGAAATGTTATTTATTAGTTACCTAAGATACAATGGCAGCAAAGTGTCCCTCTCCATCCACGATTCATCCAAACCCTTTACTACAGGGCTATACCATAGTTTTAAGGATTCACGAAGTCATAATCCCTTTGTGTGTCTGTTGTAATTCATAGCTAGGAAAGAAGCCACATGCCCTGAAAAAAGTGCCAGCTTGTGCAAAATACAGGGGACCATCTGCTTAGCAAGATGGGGTTTGATAAACATACCATGTTGATACTCCGCTCTGTACTAGCTCCCCAGTAAATATGTCATTTGAGTTCTTCATCTATGCACTCAAACTTCTTCATGAGATCGATCTCTGTCAGTTTCAAAGACTGCTTCTTCCAGCAGATAAATTCCAGGGGGTCAGCCAATGGTCAATAAATGGTAATATGTGGTTAATATAAGCGAGTATGTGTATGTAGGGGGGCATAGGACCTCAGCAAACCACAGACTCTAAGTACTCTAACTGGATTAAGGATGACAAAAATCTGGCAGAAATGTTCTAACTCAGTGTGTCACTTGAAAAAACGAACTCCCACTCCCCAAGACATGTCTAACCTAACACTTAGCACCTAGGAAGTCTTCCTTCACATCCAAGCTAGGTCTTGCTTTTTGCAAAGTTTTTTCCGTTTTTTTCCTCTCCCCACAAACTTCTCACCATTCCTAGAAGAAAAGAACTCACATCCCTCATGTTTACAAAGAAATTCACATCTCTTCACCCTCATTTGTATATCCTTTTTCTAAGTCTTTGTATTTTTGTTTCACCTGGATAAAGAGATTTTGCAGGTCCCCAGCAGAATACGCCAGATGAGTTATATAAATTACATATGGGTTTTTCTGAAGGAAGCATAGTCTTTTCAAATCTCAGTTTCTTAGTTGCAGACAATCTTTATGCCTTCATCCAGTGAAAGCTGTTGTAACCCATTTATATTTTTATGACAGATAATGGCACCTGGAGACGTTAGCTTTCCACCCCTGGACATAAGGGGACCTTTCTGCACCCTAAAAACACTGAAAGCTACAGTGGCACAGAAAGAAGTTAACAGAAAAGAGAGACTTCTGCTGTGTCTTACTACTTCACCTTCTAGGTTCATATTGTAGGAAAAGTCAATCTCTCACAATAAAACTGAGACAGAATGATTATATGTATCACCATTTATAAGAAGCACAATACCGATGTTACAAACAATGAACTTCAGGCTATAACTGAAAAAAATTACAGCTAAGAATAGCAATTATTTCAATCCCCATTTAATGTGTTCCTAGACATTGAAATCCAGATTTCTTTATTGATTCAGTGACTACTGCTAACAAACCCTTTCCTACAACAGAGAGAAATTCTTCACTTCATTTGCTTAGCCTTAAATCAGAAATCTAACATCTCATCCAACTGCTTTATTACTGTGTGGTGAAATACCAGTACTGGGTGTGACTTGAAAAATCATGGGAGGAATAAAGTACTGTTCATAGTAAGTACAAATAAAATTGTATTTACATCTCAACTTCACGTACCTTTTCAAGCCAATAGGGAGATGTTAAAAATGTAGAGGATCCAAAATTTTCTCCCGCATAGGGTGATGGATATGGGTGTGGTAAATTTAGTCCCAAGTAAAGGACAAATGGTTGAATAAGGTTAACGGCTTCTTCCTTTATCCAATTTACTGCTTTATCAGTATTCTGCCAATCTGCTTCCATCACTCTCACATGCTTCCTATCACCAGTAAGATTTACCATGGGTCTCCCTTCTTGTCGGAGCAGGAAGTCAACATCCCTAGTCCAGGCTTCCACACGGTTACTGAAAATACACACGTAGGATACATACTCAGTGGAAAAGTTTAATTCACTTTTCCCCAAAGTCAAAAGAGTTAAGAATTCCTGAAGAACTTCCCCTATACTTGTAGCTGCAAGTTTTAATTTCCACATAAAGGGGATCTGTTATTTAATTGATCAATAGCTATTGTGCATCTAATTTCTACTTAAAGCTTTAACTGTTTTTTTCTGCTTCTGACTCTTCTTATTTATTAAAACTTCATGTCAGAATGGTTCTTCTCACATCTATAAAACAATATTTAGAAATAACATCTCTATCTTGCTGACCCTGGTCCCCATTCTAGCATGGATTCACATGCTCTTTATCTGGTAAAGAGGGCCCTAGATTTTTTTAATCAGAAGAAGTCCTGTGGGAAATAACTTGCCCAGAGAGGCTGCTTTTAGAAGCAAAGTTCTGGTTCTGGATTGTGCTATGACAACATTTTTGAACACTATCATGACAAAAATATGTAAGAGTGATTTGTCTTGTACAATTGTTTTTGATATAGCTGTTAAATCCTATCAAGAAAAGGGAATAACAGAGGAGAAGGGTGTAAAGAAAGTAAGAAGATGAAAAAAAGACAGTACTTCAGTAAGTATTTCTGGGCCAGATTTTCTAATCTCATGACCACTGTCGCCTCTCTAAAACACTGAGAAATCTGAGCTGCACATGTCCTTGTTTCTTTGCCAGAGTGAATGACACCACAGCTGCCATCAACAAAGGTGGGGAGGAAACAGCCCATTTAAGTCCTTGACTAATCTTCATTTTGTTCATGGCAATTGTAATATAAACAAAGAAATGATAAAGGAAAACACAAAACTGCTCTAGGTTTGATCATGTACTTTCATCAAAACACAGCATTATTATTGTCTAAACAACATCTAACCGGTTTTGTCCCCATAAGGACTTTACCAGTGCACTTTTAACTTCCAGAAAATCTATTCAGAATTACCTGTAAAAACATTTTTATTTTTTACTATTTTCACTCCTTGTTTAGGCTCACACTTTCAAGGTAAACAGGCTTAAACAAATTACTTGGAACAGATTAGGGCAGCTAGATGGCCTATAGCAAAGCATGTTTCATAAACATTAAAATGAAATTATGGTAAAAGTGTATGTGTGGGTGTGTCAAATTGCATCTAATGTTATAATACTGGCTGATACAGCAAAAATCCTTATGTAGGCCATAGGCCAGTCTGGCTGTCCAATCAGATTGAGGTTAGGATCAAGTGGAAAAAACAAAAACAAAAACAAATCCCCAAAACTATAAAAAGACCCCACAACCAAAAAAGTCCCACTTGAGACCCTTTCCACATTCTGTAGTAACAAACGGGATGTTTTGACACATACAAGAGGAAGACTAATTCTCAGAGAGGAGAAAAAAATATGTCAAAATAAGAATCCTTGTCGTGGTTTAACTCCGGC